AAAGAGCAGGGCTTGCATATGTTACCCCACCCCTCCCTTCTTCCAGACCCAAATCACTTTGTTCCAGGTTTCTCTCCCTCCTTCTCCCCAGCAGCACAGGGGGATGGGGATGGGGTTTAGAGTCAGTTCACAGGCTGCTGGTTCTTGTTGTGCCATCCTCCTCAGGAAGAAGGATTCCTTACAGTCCTTCCCTGCTTCCCATGGGGTCCTTCCCATGGGAGAGTCCTCTGCTAACCTCTCCTTCATGAGTCCTTCCCACGAGGTCCGGAGCTGCTCCAGCCTGGGTTTCCCACAGAGTCACGGGCTGCTTCGAGAACAAACTCCCCTGGCACTGGGGTCTTTCCAAGCTGTATAATCAGAATCCACTGGCACCAAATCAGAATCCACTGGCCATAAAATCCCAGTCTGCTGGCCAAGTGCACCCCCCCTGGCACCTTCAGGAAATGTTCGACCACGTTCCTCCCCGAGTGCCGGGGCACAGCTGCCATCTTGCCATGGGTTGCAGGGAAACTTCTGCTTGGATACCTTCTTCCTCTTCTTCCTCACCAACCACCAGCACTGCCCTCCTTCTCCAGCTCAGCTCTTCTTTAAGTGCTTGCTCTGCTCAGGTGTCATTTCAGTTCTTTCCTATGTTAATCACTGAGGCACATCTATTGTTCCTCTAATGACTCCTTGGCTGGGTTTGGAGCAAAGGGAGCTTCTTTGCTTTTTACTGGGGCCGCTCCTGTGGCCTTTCCCCTGCTACCAAAAAACCCACTGAACAAAACCAGCACAGCCATCCAAAATCCTCTCTCAAAGCACAGAGAAAACACATACCGACTTCTTTCCACTTATATCCTACATGTAGGTTTATGCAAAAATTACCATATAACAGAATTTAAGATCCTAACTATAGCTAGTTTTAAAATAAAGTTTTCCTTTTTTTCCTCCTTCTTAGAATAGGACCTGTAAGAAGATTGAGTGCTACTGTCTGACTTTGCAGATTCTTCACACTTGGTGATGAGCACTGATACTCAGGTACAGATGGAGAGTGGGTAAGAGGGAAAAATGCATTATGATTGATGAAATGATAAATCATCACAAATAGGCAATTTTATCTACAACTTTGTCAAATAACTCATCTTTAAGTTCAAAATGACAGTAAGTTTTTGGAAGTTATTATCTAAAGGAAAAAAAGGACAAAGGGATCCCAGCAAAACCAAGTGCTCCAAGTCATTAAATTGCCCATTTTAAAAATAAAGTGATGTTTACCATATCTTTGTCCACTGGCAAACACATTTGGTCAAGTATGTGGGCTCATGCTATTTCATCATCAAGCATTGTAACATTTCTCTTCCATATGAACAAAAACATACTTATCATTTTGGAAAAAAACCAATATTATTAGAAGCAATTCAACAATCATGTACATTTGTTGACCTTGCAATAAATTTTGCCACTATCTGGCTTGTATGTCAAAATATGGTTTTCACATTGCATTAAGATTTTCAAAGTAGAAATATTTTCCTGGTTCGGTAATGAAAATTTCTCATTCTGGTGAGAACTACAGGAAATTAAATTTAAAGTTAATGAAAAAATAATTTAACAGTGACACTGTATGTCTCAGCTGGTCACTTCTAAATACAGAGCAGACATCCTTCAATAAAATCTCATTTATTCACTGTCCATGCTATTACATTCAAGCTGCAACTAATGGTATTTCCAGGACACAATTCCTTCTCATTTATATGTTGGCAACAGGAAATTATTTAATTTAGGATTGTTAGCTTGTTATATTTTTACCTGCAAATGTGACTATCTTGAAGTTCTCAGATATCACATATGCATAAAAAAGTAGATAATATGTTAATATGAAAATACTAGCTTTTAAAAATTATTTAGATGCTTCAGGTGAAATCCTAGTCCAACTAAAATCAGTACACTGACTTTAACAAGATAAAGGAAGTTTGAGCTAATTAATAATCTCACTGCATCTACATCTTTAGGTTTCCTTACAAAATCAAGATTCAATGTTATAACCAAGCTAAGAACATGTTAAGATAAACTATTCACTTGACTTGCAGTTACAGCTCAGCAAAATACTGTCAAAATGCAAATTTAGATCAAGCCACAAATATTACATATGGAGAAGAAACATGTCACTTGGTTAGGAAGCTGAAATATCAGTAAAGATACAATAAAAGTATTGCAAGATATGAAAAAAATCTGAGAAATTTAGTGTGATACAGTGACGAAATAAGATTTGCAGGTGAGAACTTTGCAGGACAGCAGTTTTATATTGCTTCTTATCTACTTCCTTTGTGTCTGTGAAAATATTCTAATCTGTATAGGCAAAATATGTACATTTTAATGAAAGTTATTATGTAAATAGTGATATTAATTGCAATTATTAGATAATAAAATAAATATTCAACTTTTGTATAGAAAACTAGTAGTACTTTATAACTACCAGTGATAGGAAAACTTAACCTTCTAACATGTTGATACTCCTATTTTACAACTCAGTCATCATGTAGTGATGTGAGGGTATCACAGGCAGTACCACAGACAGTATCTCTCTGCACAATTATTAAATGTAAAAAAAACTTCATTAAAAAGAAATTCTGTCAAACATAATTGGTATCAAGACTGTTCATGCCAGAATATATTATTTACATCTGGACAAGATATTTGCTCTTTTTCTAAGAAATAACCATACATACAATCCTTTTAAGAGGCTGTAGTTTGGTTTTACAGTATCAGAAATATCAGAGTCGCAGGGACCACTGCACAGAATCTCCTGGGTCTGATTCATCATTAAGTCATTTCTCCATTACACACAACTCATTCAGAGTTGGTTTTTTGAAGCAACTTCATGTAATGAAGCAGAAGGTAAAACCCCATGTCTTTTAAAATACGGAAAGTAATACTCAGAGACAAATGTTGGCATGTTCTTATTTGAAGCCTTGGCAAATTAAAAACAAAACTGACAATATTTGTTATTCAGTATGTTGTCCAAGGAATTGGGATGCAATGAAATGGCACTGAAGCAATGTACAAAATACATATTTGGTATGTCCAGGCTGACTGTGCAGACACTTCAAACATATTCCTAATAAAATGTTTATTCCTGAGATTTATTTATTATCTCAAATAAAGCAAAATAAAAGCAAAAACAAAAAACAAAACTACTGTAATCTTATCACCACAAAACAAACTACTAAGAAATGCCAAATCAACATCATCTGGAACACTCTTCCCTCCCCCAACCGGGTCAACGGTCCCCAGGCTACTTTCTTCTTACCTCATTTATTTTCTACTGTCCCAAGAAAGGATTCTAAATGAAAAAGAGGTTCATACAATCCTATCTGGTCACTTCCAAGAAGGATTATCAATGCTGTTCTTCCAAAAAGAGCCACAGGAATATAAATAATTTGTATCCATCTGTTACTGGCATAGTGTTGCTAGAAAAATCTGTTTTCATCCTGCTGGCTATATGCAAAACAGGACAATAAAACTGACACTACAGACTCTTTAGACCTTCATGTAGCTAACCAGCACACATTCAGGCATCTCTGGAAACAAATTCATGTGGTGAAGTATCAGTGTATAAATCGGAAGGCTCTAAAGATGTACTTGCCTTTTTACATTCCCAATCTTTATTTCTTTTTCCTCTTTGACAATCTCTATGTGACTTTTTTCTAATTTGTATTGAGCTGTTTTGTCAGTCTGTTTTGGAAGATTTTCTAATTTAAGATTTCATTATCTTATTTCCTTCAGTTCTGAATGGTCTGTCACTTGCTATACCCATCATGCTGAGCAACCCAAGTGTGCTTCTGATTTTCAGCTGCCAACTGAGAAGGCCAAGGTCTAGATTTCTTTTTTTCTCCACTTTCTCACTCTTGTTCCTGAGGTTAGCAATTATTTCTTCTTTTTCCACATTATAAACTAAGGTGCTGACCTGAATGTGCCTGAGTGCTTTCAAATGCTACTGGAAATAAACGGATACCAAGGACATTGCAGCCTTTCATGGGAACAGGCCAAAAAGCTAAAAAATGTAAACAACTTACCTTGAAACACTCCTACAGAATGAACAGTTACACAAATAATTGTTTTAAAGGGTGGTGTCTCTAACTGTATAAACCAAAATCATTTAAAAAAACAACTTGTAAGACAAAAGTTGCCTTGCAATGAGATGTGTGACCTTGTTCATTAGAAGTAATTATGATTATCATGTTGATTAATAGAAAAGTGCCGGTCTCATTTTAAAACAGATGCTTGGGTTAATTGTTTTTGTATAGCTTGAAAAATGGTGCATTTACTTGAAGTAGGCCTGCTAAGCAGGGGCTGGCTCCAGGGCAGGTAATGGTCTCAATGAAATGACCCATCTGAGCTTAGAAGTCCTGCTGAGAAACTGATACCTCAAACACAAGTGCACTTCTAACACATAAAGAGCTTACTCAGTTTCATTCAACTAACACAGAATCCACTGTAAATCCATGGAAACATATCCACTGGAAAACATTCACTTTTTTTTTCAAGTACACTCTTGTTGAAAATTATTCTAGGAGACAAAACTAACAAATACGTGTGTAGAACAGGACAGAAAGGAAAGTTGTTTTAAAATTGTTGCTAATTCTTTTCAAAGGTTTATATCCTGTAAAATGATGAACTATTAAAGAAGTTTAGATGTTAAAGAAATCCAAAAGAGAAACCAAGAAGGAAGAGGGGACTTCAGGGAGAAAGACCCTTCACCAGCTTGTTAAACCTGATACAATTGGCCTCAGTCCATCAATCCAGCTTGTCCAGGTCCCTCTGTAGATCCTTCCTACCCTCAAGCAGATCAACACTTCCACCCAAGTTGGTGTCACCTGCAAACTTACTGAGGGTGCACTCTCTGGGCCTGGGTCATCCAACAAGCTTTTAACCCAGAGAAGGGTGCACCTGTCCAAGCTGTGGATTGCTAGCTTTTCCAGGAGGATGCAGTGGGAGACTGTGTCAAAGACCAAAGTCAGGCTGACAGTTCACTGGATCCTCCTGGCTCTTCCTGTAGAAGGGCCTCATGTTAGCCAGCCTCCAGTCATCTGGTACCTCCTCTGTTGACCAGGATTGTTGATAAATGATGGAGAGAGGCTTAGTGAGCTCCCCCACCAGCTCCCTCAGCACTCTAGGGTGGATCCCATCATCCCCCATAGACACGGAACCACAGAATCATCATGGTTGTAATGGACCTCTGAGATAATCAAGTTCAACCATCAACACAAAAAACCCACCAACCCAAACAAACACAAACAACCACACACATCTACCAGAAAACACCCACAAAACACCCAAACCCAACATGTTTTATTCCTAATAGTTATGACTGGAAATGAACTCATATGGCAGAATGAATGAAGAAGACCAACAAAATAAGTGAATCAGGTAATGATAAATAAATAGCAGTGTTGTTACAACCTCTAAAGACTAAATTTTGGACTTTTTTTACACAAAAAGCCATTCTCTAAGGATATTCAAATCCACACATGCCTACATAAAATTATTCCCAGCCTTTTCCTTTCATTATCTATCTTCCTCATTTCAACTGTTTAGATATTAAAACTAAGGTGAACCACTAAGAGGTGTTCTGGCACCCTTCTGCCTAAAACCCTGAGTTTTCAAAATCAAATAATTTTTATAAGAAAAGTGCTGGAAGTGTCTTTCATTGCAGGGTTTTTTATTTTGTTAAAGCCAGAACCATAATAACCAGTTACCATGACTTTGGCTTCTGATATGGCCTTTTACATCTCATCTTGTTGGCAACAAGGAGGGTGTGAAGCTCACTACCCTGGACTTGAGGATTCTATGACATCATAAATATAAAGAAATAGACCATATCCTTAAATAACTTTTCCCTGGTATTTCTAAACAGTAACTTATTTTTAGAGAAGTTAAAAAAAAATGTAAATTAACATTCCAGGAATTTTGTTCAATGTAATGCTACAGTTGATGCCTTCAAAGCATAGAACTAACAAATTAAGTCTTTCAAGGGGGAATACTTAATGATCGTTATTAGACAGTCTTTCTTTTTTGCTTATCCTTCTTTAGTACTTTAATTTTTTATAATTTATGACAGAAGTCATGGTAAACCTAATGTCAAGCAAGTATGCTAGACCATCCATACAATAAAAGTAATGTATTCCCAGTGCCACAGTTAAGTACCTCCTCACCATGGAGGATAGTATTCAAGTTGTTTGGCCTTCTGAATTCTGACAGAAACAAGCTTTATCATCAAGAACAGCTATTTTGTTTTGCTGCTTATCTAAAAAGATTTTCATTTGGAAAGCTTTAGTAAGCTTCTTGAAGGGGGAGGAAGAAAAAAAGTAAATCATAATTGTTAGAACATAAAAAGCAATACTGACTCCAGAGTTATTTTTTTAAGCTTCTGCATCAGTATTTTCCTTCCAGGTTCAATACTGAACCAACCAGGGGCAGTACTCTGGGATTTAGCTGCATCTAACATTTGCTTTATACTTACCCCAAGCCATAACATTTGGTATTTAAAACAGACTGACACCGAAAACTCACTTAAAAGTTCACTTAACTCATTAAATGTTGGGGTTTTTTTTAATTACTGACTTGCTAAAATCATTGAAAATAATAAATAATTCAAACAAACAGCAATTTCATGTTATCTGCATGAGACAAACTTTATGATATAAACCAACTTATGTTTCCAAATCTAAAAGCTTGGAAATCATCAACATAATCTTTCTTGTTTGGAGGTCTGTAGTAGGCAAGCAATCATTCAATAGTACGAAAGTTCCAGTCAATAAGGTAATATTCCAGAAAAGATAAAAATCACTTTAGCATCAAAACAGATTTTTTCAAGTTATTCCTAAAAATTTTTATTGTCCTCCAGTACTAAGAACTATTATTTCAACATACTTTATTAACACGATGCACTACTATGAAGGTAAAATTGATGTCCACTACCAAACACACTAGCAAAACATAATATACATCTTAGAAGATTTTAAGGAGCAGCAATTTTTTTACTGCCATCCCAATAAAAGCAGGTAAAAACAAAGAATATGAATATATTATGATGAATCTGTAAGAACTATCAATTATTTTTAAAACTATTACCCCATATCCTATCACTACACATCCTGGTAGGAAGTCCCTTCTCAAGTTTCCTGCTGCCCCTTCAGGTACTGGAAGACCACTATAAGGTCTCCTCTGAGCCTTCTCCTCTCCAGGCTGAACAGCCCGAACTCTCTCAACCTGTCCTCATAGCAGAGGTGCTCCAGCCCTCTTTATCATCTTTGTGGCCCTTCTCTGGACTTGCTCCAATAGCTCTATGTCCTTCCTGTGCTGATGATTGTTTTAATAGGTTCTGAGCAGGGAAAGTCTTTTTTTCCTTACTGTAGCTATCCAAACATGGCACATCAGTACTAATCAAGTAGTGACCTGTGGAAGCACTATTTAGTTTCTGATTGAAGGAAAGCAGAAGTACCCACACACCAAAAAATCCCACCCAATCCTTGTTTGTGTGCTTTGTTTAACACCTTTCGTTAAACTGTAACACCAGCACAGACTTCCATCTACAAAAACCATTGTAGCAGATGGCACTTGATGCATCTCAGACAGCAAGGGCAGCATGTAGTGGTATCCTCTAGGCAGATTATCCTCACTTGTCTTGAGCTGAAGATTTCTTCTTTTTCCTGGCCTGCCATTCCAATATTCGGCTTAGGCACAAGCTGAGTACAGTTTTAGCAGGGATTTAGAAACAAGACTTCTGTTAATATAAATAGGAGATGCATTACTTACTCCCAGTGCATATGGCAGAAAGACAACCTGAGGACCTGGTCTGTTTTCAGCAGCAGATTGAATAGGACTCTTGAAACAAACTAAATTAAAAGCCTGATTTGGGTCTATTTTATTGTGATGACCCCCTCTTGCAGTGGGACTGTAATCCTCAGAAACAGGCAAATTAATTATCTTAGCGTACTTTTCCCTGTCTCTAATAAGGTTTTGGCAACAGATACAGAGGAGAGAAAGCAAAAATTACTTTCATAATATTCTTTCCAAAGTAAAATAAACCACAACGTGATAACCTGGATGTAATGAATGGATATTTTCTAATGATTTGTCACATATTTCTATGGTGAAAGAAAAGGAACTACTTCACAAGTAGCTCATCACTGTATTTCAACATAATCAAATCACTGCATATGTGGGAAGCCAAAGAATATTTTATAGCACACGTTAGTTCATCAGGTTTGGCAAAACCAGTTTCCCAGTGAGGGAAACAGTTCGTCTTCTTCCCCACATAAATCTAAACAAAATGTCTTTTAAGCCAGTGAAGGTCTTTTGCTGATTATACCCAGCTAACAGACCAAAACCAGGACAAGCAAAAGCAAAACAACAGATGTGGTACAAGGCAGGAAGGATGGGCAACAAGTTATGCATTGCCCCTGCTAATTACCACCCTAACTTGGGACTCATGGATGCCAATTGGCTCTGGACAGTGACACTGGCTGGACAGGTGGGTCACGGGGGTATAAAAGGCGGCAAATTCAGCAGGTGGGACCAAGGCCTGCTCAGACTCTTCCTGCGTGGGACACCCCCCTGCTGCAGAGCCTGGTGCACGGACTCTGCTGGGCCTGCCTGCCCGCCCCAGGGATCGAGCCTGAGCCTTAACAGTGAGCATGCCGGGGTTCTGACCCCTGCACGCCAGGGTTCTGATCCCTGGAGCACCGGGTCCTTCCCGCAGCTGTTGGGGCTGGAGCACCCACCACCCCATTTTGCTGCTGCTGCTGCCAAGCGGTGAGGGACTGCCCCCCAAACCCACAGATTTCGAGATCCTGCTGTAGCTTCCTGCTCGCCCCACACACACAGGATGCAAAAGCATCCTGACAGCCGGCAGCCCCCCTGGCATCAGCTGGCAACACCCAGTTTCAAAGGAATAAATGGAGGATGGGTTCAGAATTTCATATAACAGAAATTCCACATTTGATTTCTGTGTTAAATATAATAATAACTGATATTTGCAATTTAAAAAAGACTAAGCAGTGAAGATTTCCATGGATAACATGTTGCTTAAGCATCAGTGATTCTAAAGTTCCTAGCTTCACACAACAAAATAGAATGATAAGGCATGATCAACAGACCCAAGTGAACAGTCAGATTCAGGAACACACATGCCTCTAACTTTAATTTTCTCTCTTCCCAGGACACAATAACTTTCTAAGAGGCAATAGAAGTTAAGGCCAATCTTGAGGAAGAGTAGATAAGCCAAATACCTAGTCACTGAAACAAGAGATTCAAAGAGCAAATTTCTTGGTATCCTACAAAATATACCAGGGGTAAAGAAATGAAGTTTGTTTTCCAATATGTATTTCAGTAAAAAAAAAAAAAAGGCTTCCAAAAAATAAAAGTTTCAAACTGTGTCTCATCTACTGCTTCTCAAAAGGATTAGTTGTAATATCTGTTTTTTAAATGTCCACTAGCAGACTGTGATTTAGACAAAGAATTGCAAGCTTATTGCAAACTGTTTTCAAAGAGAATCACTGTTCCCTACTACAGGGGGCACTGAAACCTCCATGAAGAAATCACAGTTCAGCTCATGTGAACAAGGAGAAAAATGACAACAGTGTTCAAGATATGTTATCCTTCTTTTTAGGGCTATAAAAATTGCTTGTGGATAATATTGCTTGTGGAAAGAAAATTAAACTCTACTTTTAGAAATCTGTTGTTGAACAACTACATTCCAGTTGCTCACTACGTTTCAGATGACACATGCACTTCATTACACTGAAATCAACCTGGTGATAATTTCTGTGTTTATTGATGTAAAATTTATGATTTTTAGGTATTCTCAAGCTGTTATTTCTGAAAACACGATTTGTAACCAAGAATTACCCAACAAGTGGATTTTGCTGACACAGAATTACAAACTTCCCTGCAGTTTTCTAGGCTTCTACATCTCTGATAATTATGATAGCTAAATCCAAAGAATCATTAATTTCTCATGAACCATGTATGTTGCACATGCATTTACCTCTCTCAAAAAAA